TCATCAGGATAAGCTACATCCTCCAAGGTGCTATCGACCATGAAGATTTCACAGGAAATTCAGGGACCATCGAAGCAGGAGATCTTCAATTCATGACTGCCGGAAGAGGAATAATGCACTCGGAAATGCCACGACAAAATCCTGATGGCAGCGCAAATATTGGATTACAGCTCTGGGTAGACTTACCCGAGAAACTCAAGAAATGCGAGCCACGATATCGTGATTTACGAGCCAAGGAAATTCCACGAATCGACATCGACGATGGAAAAGTACATGTGAAGATCATCTCAGGCCGAAGTCATGGTGTTGATAGTGTAAAAGACTTAGCTTATACACCAGTTTGGATTTTCGACATAGAAATTAAACCGGGTGGAAAGATTGTGCAATCATTACCGGCTGGGTGGAATGCTTTTGCCTATACTTTGAGTGGGGAGGCGGTCTTTGGAAGTGGAGATGAGAAGACTAAGGTTGCACAATTCCACAATGTGGTATTCCGTCAGGAGGGAGATTTGGTGAATGCAGAAGTCGAAGAGTCTGCTAAAGAAAATGGACATTTTAGTAAGTTCATTCATTTGATTGGTTCTCGCTTTATTTTGAATTACAACCTCTCAAACCCCACGGCCAAAATTTGCAGGAGCAAATAGAGGTTAAACTCGTCAAATCTCCTTCACCAGAACCATTTACCACAAAAATCTATAGCAAAACAACCATCGATGAGATTGAAGTCAATCAAAAAAGCAAAACAATTATGCGTTCGCCGGGAATCGAACCCGGGGCCCATCGAGGTTGTCTCGTACTCTTCTGATGAAGGAAGAGATTGATGGCAACGATGGATTTACCACTAAACCACAAACGCTGGTTGTTTCTTAGCTGTTGAAATAAATTCTCTTGTTTGCAAATAATACAGAGTGAAAAAACCACCATCCAGACTGCCGTGCTGCAGGGTTGCTGCAGAGTTTGCAAGAGCGGGTCAATATATGCAAGAAGGGGCCGAATGTTACCCGAGTGGAGTCAGACTGCAGCCGAGATAGACAGGGGGCATTTGTTGGTGGGGTTAATTCCAAAGCAAGTTGCTTTGCTACACTACTCATTCAAGTCACACTTCTACAATCTTTCATTTATCCCTCCAGTGATTTATTTTTATCTCTCATGTCATAGAGAAAATATATACTAACGACTTCTTTAGTTCTAGTAGCAGGTCAACCCCTCGACCAAAAGATAGTCCAATACGGCCCCTTTGTCGTCAATTCAGAAGAGGAGGTATATCAAACGATGGAGGACTTCCAGACCCATTCTAATGGGTTTGAAAGGGCGAAGGGATGGAAAAGTAAGCTTGGCAAGTCGATGGTTCATTAGACTATATCGAGAGGTGACAACTTGGGGAGCTCTTGGTTGGAGATAGTGATTAATGTCAGGCGAATAAAAGGAGGAGTTAGGTGTTTTGGTCTCTATAGCTTGGGACTGCTTCTTCCAGTTGAACTAACACAATTGGTATTTTTATTTCAAACTCATGATTGCTATTTGTTAGTTTTTTTTTGTGGTGTTAGTACCATGTATTTCCTCGTTATTCTCAATGATAGATTGCAATTCACTCTAATCTAAAACCCTTGTTCAGGTATACCTTGTCATCGCAAATTGCAAAATTAGCATTTGAACATAGGGATTCTAGCTCTTGAATCTTGGCTTCACACTTGATCATTTTATATATACGTTTTATACTGAGTGCTCAGATGTGGGAGCAGAATTGAGGCGAGAATGAAAGAAAATAAGATAGAATGAGACGAGTGCCTATCACTTGGAAGATATGATAATTGAATTCTATCGTTAGGTTCAGAATTTTATATGTAAACAACAACCTCACCAATTCATTTGTATTCTCAAAAGCACTCATGGATATGGATTTTGATTATATTATCTAAGAGTGACGGTTCCGAGGTACCCGAACTGCAATAGCTCAAGTGCTTATCTCTACGCAAATGACAGAGACTAGAAAGTTAATCTCTGTACCTCTTCACCCCCAACCTAGATACTTCCATTCAGACAGCTAGTCCATTTCAAACAAAGCATTCCTTAAATCTCTCCTTTCCTCTCTTGACAAACCTCAAAGGAACAGGCTCTCCAGACATCTTTAGCGTAATAACAGTCTCACTCTCCTTTATGAGTCGTCTCGCTCTCTCCATTGCTTTCTCTCTTAAACCACTCTCCTATCTCCAGCATTCATCTTCTCAATCTCCTCATCACTCGCCCATTTTCTGACATCCAACTCAACGCTCCAGACTTTGAATATCACAGCCAATGAAGCCATCATCTCGACTTGCGAGAATCTTTTCCCCATACAGGCGTGGGCGCCTTCTGACCAGGGTATAAATGCTCCTCTACGCGGTACAAAGAGTAAATTGTCATTCGAAGCGTCAGGGGAGGTCTTGTCCTTTGAATTTTTCTCATAGCCGGGTAGCCATCTCTCAGGGACAAAATCATCTAAATCGTGAGATTTATCACTCATTCGGCTTTTTTGGCATGGCCAATAACGCGGATTTCGATGCACACCCATGACATCGAAATGCAGAAACGTGTTTGCCGGGACCGTGATAATTTTTCCGTCAAAATTCATTTGTCTCAATTCCAAGCTGACCTTCGGAATGGCAATAACAGGGGACATGACTCTTAAAGATTCGTTCATGACGGCTCCAACAAAACTGTCGTGTAAAGCTGGGAAATCTGTTTCATAATTCCAGGACTCTGGCGATCTGTCTGCAAGAACTGTATCAAGCGTCGATTGAAGTTGATCTTGTGCCGTGAGACAAACAGACAAAAAGAGGATTATAAAGTGTATTGCGTTAGATGTAGTTTCGTGGCCTGCGAAGAGGAATATAAAGGAATCGGCTATCGCTTCTTGCTTGGTGAGCATTTTCTTCGAATCATCTGAGGATTCGAGTCGAGTAGCTTCTACCAAGAACCTGATGTTTGATTAGTATTTGTTTCAGGAATTCAAGAAGTATAAATACCTATAATGCCCATTGCCGCAGAATCTTTATTCTGGCCACTTTCAATAACCTTCAAATTGTGATCAAATAGCTCATTGAAATAGTCACCACATTCGACAAATGACTGATACCACTTCTTATGGAAAGGTGAGATACCTAAGCTCGTGTTAGATGTCACCTATATTTCAGACTCACCAAGAAGAAATTCCACTTACTATATACCCACATCGGAGCAAGCGCTGCCCAAATGATATCATGAACCAATGTACCCAGAGCTTCCTTAAACATCAATCGATGATTACCCTCAAGCTTGGTAGTATTGAAACCGGGAACTATATTGTTACCCAACTCCTTATCGTCTCCTTCCCAGCTCTGGCTAATGCCATACGCCGCTCCAGAAATAACATGTAGACCTAAAACCGCAGTATCCGGTGCAGTATCTTTAACTTCCAGATTCTCTTCATTCGAATCTTTCGCTCCTGACCAATGTCTTAGCATTCCATACGCCTGGTTCATAGTCTCCTTCCACACTACAGCATAACTCCTCTCCGAGAATGCAGGCGCGACAACTTTCTTATGACGTTTCCATTCATCCTTCTCCGTGGTGAGAATGTTCTTTCCGTATAAATCGACAATTCCGTATACTTCAATGGGTTTCTGAAAGTGATTTCGCCGAATAGACATTTGGTATATAGTATCTGCATTGGCCATACTAAGATATATTTGACCAGGACTAATGATGAGAAATGCTTCTCCATGTAGTTCACGGAGTTCCTGGCTATAGTGCCATCCTCGATGGGGGTCAAGATAGCTGCTATGAGTCAGTTGATTGGATGTATGCTAATGCGATGCGACCTTACATAATCATTGGATATAACCAATTTTGAGAATATGGGAGACATTTCAGAATACTGAAAACAATATCATGGATACCGGTCCAGAGAAATCCAGCTATACCGTTGATTGCTACACCAATAGTTAGAAATAAGTTCACGACGGCACGAAGGTTTCACGGTTAACCCACGAGATATGATGTAGGGAAGTCCAGTGGTCTTTGCGATCGCGATATTTCGACTCAGCGAGAGGTACGCATTGGAGATCCAGAGCACGAGAATGGATACAAAGATCCAGATAAGAGAGAAAGCCATGCTGTTGAAGTTGTAAATCACGAAAGGAGAAGTTTCGCAAAGTGCAACAGCCTGGCGACACGAATTTTTGAGTTTTGAGATCGAGGAGGAAGAACTTTTAAGAAAAAAGAAATGAACCAAAGCTTGCTATTATTCACTATCCCATTAAAGCTTTTAAATAACGTTATCAGATTCACTGCTATCGAGAAGAACGAAACTCCAACCCAAGGAGAGGGGTTTCATTGCCGGTTCATATAATAAGACACACGGAATTACAGACAGCCACCAGTACTTATCCACTCGATACTATATGTGTGAAGCCAGAAACGGAAGGTCCACGGGTAGGTATGATGCTGATTGGACATGATTATGCACGATTTGATGGTGGCGTTTTGAAATTATATTGTGGCGTTATCTTTTCTCAGCTGTACACAACTGCCCGGGCGTGTCACCAACCCAGATATCAAATGAGAAATTTGCGAAGTTTAGACCATGAGAGATGTGTATCATGAATCATTGAGTGTTCTGTGTAACATTTAGTAGGACTTACTGAATCAAGAATACAGCACTAGATTTGTATTTTGAATCTTGATGGGCGAAATGAGATCATCATCTTGAGTGGTAGCTTGTTTACGGATATGTAGCCGTATTAGCAACAGGATCAGCATTCGGATCTTCTTCTCACAACCTTCACTGAGTGAAATACTAGGGGTTGAAGAACATGGTGCCGATACAGATCCCTATGATTGAATTAATAAGGAACTTCAAGATACTTATTAAGCATAGGATTGTAGGTTGTTATTCCATTGGCAACCCGAAAACGTTTTACTCCTAAAGCATTTGCTCCTTGTCTCTTTCAAAGACATCACTCTGTTGCGTCTCATCTTCATCACTTTTCTTCGCACCCTTCCTCCTTAATTTCTTCGCTCTCCCCTTCTTCGTTTCTCTTTTTCTCCTTCTCCTGATCTTCTTCTTGTTCCTCCTCTTCCGAAATCCTATTCATACACTCCTCAACCCTCACCATATTTGCAAGCCGCGCTGGCCTGGGCTCATTCAAGGCTTCAATGCCTTTCTCCTCAAAGTTCTTCAGCAATGATACTATGTCAGGATGGTGTCTAGCTTTTCAACTGCAGTCATTTGTGTCCCATCATGTTTGTTGCATGTGGTTCTTGCCCCTTTTTTGAGAAGCAGCGCAACCATGTCATAACAACCATAGTAACACGCACCCATCAGAGGTGTGCCGTGCGACGGTTTAATGATTTCAAGCTCAGCCCCATGGTCTATGAGCAGCTCTGCTATTTTTAAATTTTGCTCTCGAGACACTATTGCTGTACGGTATAGAGCTGTACCATATAAACTGATGTAATTAAAATACTGGTTTGATTTATCTTTAGGCACTTTTTTTCAGTAATCTATGCCAAGTCAGCGTTCTAGTAGTATGTCAGAGTTAATGGCGACAGTTATCAGTCAAATACCATAGCTTTATAAAACTACATCATAGTTGCGAAAGCAATAAGAAGATCAACTTACTCTCTGACTACCAGAAGCAGGGATTCTCTGCAAAGAATCGTGAGTAAACTTTCCGCCCCAAGGGTTTGGTAAAGATTATCTACGTTCGCTAGTAGCTTTATTTGGAATTCTTCAGTCAAAGTCCGGTTAAACATAGCTGAAAAAAATGCCGGCCACTCATCATTGTCGGTTGAATTAATGTTCATCCCAGCAGCAGTCAGTATTTCTATTGTCTCTGCATTGCCATAGATGCAGGCATAGTCCAGTAAATCACTTCCATTTTCAAAAAGAATATCGGAGCTGGATGGTTGTTTTATCATAATCTCCACAATATGATAGTACCCGTTCTGTATCGCGTAGTGAGTTGGGGAGAGGTTTTTATGATCACGAGATAACACGCTGGCTCCAGCAGAGATCAGGACTTGGCATGCTTGATATCGACCGTCCTCTGCGGCAACATGTAGAGGTGTTTGTTCCCGGCTGTTTTGAGCACTGAGATCTGCTCCTGCTTCCAAGAGTTCCTCCATAGTATTCAGGCGGCCTTGAAAAGAAGCATGATGCAAAGCTGTCCCGCCGATGTCCTTGACAATCTGACCTCTATTGCTCACAATCTGCGCCTCCTCGAAGCATCGAGGACTAGTAACGCAGCTTTTCATATCGATTCCACATTTATTCCCCAGTTCATAACTCAAGAGCAACCTAACACACTCAGAGTGACCGTTATATGCTGCAACATGTAAAGGATGGACCTTCTGTTGAGGAGTCGGCTTTCCTAGTGTGAGAATCTTTTCCATAATTTGTTCGTCTCCCAACAATGCGGCATAGTGAAGGGGTGTAAATCCAGAAGTAGGTAGTTGTTCTGTACAAGTCACTACTCCACTTAACGAAGCTCTATTATCTAACAGATAATGAATTATTTCTCTGGAAGAGCTTCTCACGAAAGCTTTGAGCAATGGACTGCACCCGCAGAAACAAGCCCCTTCAATGCTGTCACCATTTTGAAGTAGATATTTCAGAGTCGAAAGGTCCTGACGGATTATAGCATCTTCAATTGCAACAGATACATATTTATTACCGTCCACTTTATCAGTATCTGTGCCCGATCTATTGTCATCTAGACAAATGGGCTCAAATGTTACTACATATAAGAAATGTCAGTAATCGGAATGATCTTGAAGCTTTCGTTATTGTTTGGAAATATTTATAGCTGGAAAATATAGTGATGACTCGGGAAAGTATACGACAGACTTACAAAGTTTGGCCAAATGTTTGTTCAAAATTTCTGCTATACCTTCATACTTGAGATCCAAAGCAAGCGTAGCCGGAGTGAGCCCTGTACTATCACGAGCCTGAACATCCGCTCCATATTGAAGAATAGTTTCGACAATTAGTTCATTGCCTCCTGCAATAGCAAGATGTAGCGGTGTCAGCTTCCGAGGGCCGTAGATGACCTTAGTTGCGGCACCTTTCGATAGAAGCAATTCAGTGATTTCAGGCCTTTTGCCATAGATCGCAAAGAATAGTGGAGTAATGCCAAAATCCGCAGTAATATTGACATGCAATTGGTTCCCAAAATCTAGGGCATACAGTATAGTCTCTTTGGTGCCATGCATAGATGCATCATGCAAAGGTGTCACATTGTCTATTTCAAAGTGCCACTCCCTTTTCTCCGGAGTATTGTAATATATTATCTGCGCTGTGCTTATTCCAGGTATAAAATGTCCCCAGAAATGCCCACTAGCTTTGCAGTGCCAATCATTGATGCCCTTCTCGTTGAGAAACTTACACATCATGTGATTTGGCGCAACTGAAAGAGAAAACGCGATATCAAATTTATATTCGTATTTGTCCAGCAGAATCGCTCCATGTTCTAGCAGCAAGTTGACCATTGCCATATTTCCAGATTCAATACCTTCTAAAATCAACGGTTTCTCATCTCGGCTTAAGATATGCGTCTTCTAGCTAGCACAAAGTAATTCTTCGAGAACGTTGACCCGTTTATGGATACAGGCAAGATGAAGCATAGTAAAACCATCAACGTCGAGCGCAGTTCTGTTCGTGTGATTCTCAATAATCTTTTTGGCAATACTTTTATGGTGCGATCCATGAATACAAAGCATCTCGAGAGCTGTTCGCGGAGGGTCTCCCCGATCCGAAGATACAGTATCTACCCCGAGGCTAATGAGCATCTGGCTGAGTTGGCCTTGGTTGGATTGGAGAGTAACGTTAATGAGACTTCGGCCATTAATCAAGGTGTCATTGAGCTAGTTTTGAGAAGCTTTAGATATTAACATGAGCGCAATTTAGTGGCGAACGGTTGGTGGCAGATGGTGTCCAGATTCCTGAAAAATGTGTGCAGAGCAGTAATCTTAGATCCGTTGAGTACTTCCAACAAGTTTATATCGTTGCTCCTTGGGCAAATATTTGAGTTGTGGAGTATAGCTCCGTCAGAAAATAGTGGTCATTGTCATAATCGTCACTCCCATCGTCGTCATTTCCATCATCATCAATCTCATCGTCGTAACCTCCATTATCATCATTTTCAATGTCGTAATTCCCATAATCTTCATCGTAATGTTTTGGAACGTAATCACTTCTATCTTTGCTATCATTTTGATCGTATCTATTATCTCCACTTCTCCAGTTGGGACTGTTTGACTTGAGAATTTCGGAAGTATCAGTGAATGTCGAATGTCTCGCCGCCAACAAAGCTGACATGCATCGATACTCATATTTCCCAAAACTTCCGCTTCTACAGAGATAGTGAAGTGCTGTATTTCCTGCCACATCTTGTCGAGTGGTAATAGCTCCATAATGTAATAACAATTCTATGGCACCAGCAAAGAGGTGCTTGCGATAGTTATATCTCTGTGCCTTCTGGAGTGCATTGCAAAGTACTAACAAGGTTGATCTTCCTTCAATGTCTCCGACTTCTAAATTTATCTTCCGATAAGATGATAATAGCAATCGAAGCATTCTGAGCCCATCATAGGGAGGAGAATACACCCTGCGTATCAAAATATGTAGAGTAGACAATCCAGACTCCGAGACAAAGTTTATTATGTCTTCCGGATTTTCGAGAGAGGCCCACCGAGAGTCGGGACACTGTAATTATACATGATTGGTCATTATCTGAAGAGCAGAAAGATCTTGAGAGGCCGACGAACATGAGTTCAAGATAAATTCAAGAGTCTCGCGGAATATGTTGAACCCACGTTCCGCTGCAATATGTAATGGCGTGAGTCCTTCTTTGGTTGATATGAACGGATTTACACATGAGCGTCTAAGAACAGCAACTTTACGGCGGGGGGCAATGCTCGATCTTATAGCCTCGTGAAAACAGTTGAAGCCAGTCTCATCCTGCAATATTACGATAGAAGGATCTGAATTGCACAGAACAAATTCGAATGCATCAATTGAGCCAAGCTTTGCTGCTGCCATCAGTACTGTCCACCCAGTTGGTGTTTTAGTCGAAAAAGAACCGTGATATAACGAAGACTGAATTAGGTATTCCATCATTTCGATGCGCTGTGCTGTGGCTGAATGGAGTGGTGTGATTCCCGATTTCATGTCAGGCTTATTAATATCTGCCCCATACTCTTCTAAGAATCTTGCAACATTTATATGACCATTCGCCACGGCTAGATGAAAGGATGTTGCACATTTCAAACCAAATAGATTTTCTGTAGTATCTATTCCATCTATTGAAGTAGGAAGGTCCAACGAAGCGCCGTAATTCAGAAGGATCTTGACAATTTCTAGATGGCCGCCTTTCGAAGCACGGTGTAGTGGGCTCAGTCCATCTATGTTTGAACATGAATTTATGCTCGGGTTCCATTTTTTCAGAACTTGTAGAACGTTATACGTCTGACCAAATGTGATTGCTGCGTGTAATGCGGCAATCGCTTCAGTGGAGTCAATGTCGACACTAGAGTCAAAGAATGAATCTACAAGAGGTTTATCAACGTCTTTGAGTTTTCCCGCAAAATGCATAAACCTAATCAAAACCATTGAATAGTGTTAGTGTGTAAAGTGAACTCAACTTTGGAGCAAACAGGTGAAAGTAAATGAGGCGGTGATGAAACTGACCTTGAATTGATATCAGCAGGGACATTTCTGGGGTTTGTACTTTGTACAAAACTAGTGATAAAGTCATAGCTATGCTCAAAGTCCTCTTCCAGAGCCTTGATACATGAATCGGTTATCAGAGCTCCATGCTGAAGTAGTATATCCCACCCAAAATGGGCTTTAATGGCGAGCTCCAACAAATTTGTACATGGAGAATTTCCCCATTCACTTGTGGTGAAGGAAAGCGGATCGATTATTGTGGCGGACTGAAATAAAGACTCCAATATTTTCTTTTTTCGATTAGGGTGAGGATGTCGTCTACATTTTATGTCCTCTACTACGTGGCACAGAACCATTTCGGGAGCTACTGCACAGGCTAACAAGGGTACCAACATCGCCGTTCTTGGTTAGATACGAGTAGGTATCGGTATCTGAGATCAACCATTCCACTACGCGGGGAATTGATAACAGGATCGCGAAGTGCAAAGTGCTAGTATTGCAAATGATCTTTTGGCGACTGTTCCAGCCATAATAGTGGATCAGCAGTTCCTGGACCCAAAAGACGAAGCTATTCGTTTTTATAGGATTAAAAAGCAGTTTAAGTAATTCCAAGATATTATGGTCATCGGCATCACTGCATGCATGACTGACAAAATGCAGCGAGGCGTAGTGATAAAATGCGTATTTCTTATCCGTGGCAGATTTTTCAGTGGGTGTAGTGTGAGGAGTGACGTCTTGGAAGTCTTCGAACAATAGATAGGTCAGACAGACCTTAGCCATATAAGCATTCCGAAAATCCTGTGACATGCGGTACATGGAATATCGGTCATCCTGAACTTCAAGTAGTAAAAATTCCTTGACGCTGAAATGCGCTAATTCAATTCGAATGCCCCACGGTCCCTCAGTCTTCCTAACAAGGCTACTACATCTCTTCAAGATACTCTGCTCATTCGGAATTCCTTCTCGGTCTAAATGCTTATCAGACAGGTCTATGGATACGGCTTCGAGTAATTGGGCTAAGGAGAGTGGTTCAACGGCACAGACAGTCCATATCAAGACTCGCCGAACAAGCTCTTTGATCTCATCACTGCTGAGGTTGATACGGTCTAGTATTCTCTCATAGGTTCCGAATAATGTCGGCGGGAGTGAATGCAATGCTCGCCTGACACCTCTGAGGGTATCGAGGTCATATAGATGATCTAGTTGGCATGTTACCCAGCGGACTAAAAGTCAGCAATTGGTATTAGATAATTAATTAGATTGATATAACTTACACATACCCTGTGCCTCATCCACCAGCCGTTGTGCGATTTCTTCTCTCAACTCTTGGTTCCAGGGGGTTTTTTGGGTTTCACGAAGACGACACTCTATTTTTGAATGTACATAGAGTTCTAAGTCGTTCCTGTGCGCTGCAATTGAGAGTTTTGTGAAATCTACCAAGTGGCTCTCGATGTCTGGCTCGGGCCGCGAGGCCAAGATTATTTTGATATTGCTGTCCTTGGTAGCGTTGAGCTCAGTCAGAAGACGTACAATATCCAAACGACCATCTCCGCATTCATCTAGAGCATCAACAACAAGATGAACATTATCGAAGTAACGTGATATATTCCGAAGTAATTCACAGAGATGCTCTGCCGATATTGGGTTCGAAATTCCAATATCCTCATCTGGGCAACAATTGACCCAACATGCTTCTAGCTCCGCAAATCCGCGGCGGTCGGCTAACACAAGTTGCTTAACCAGATTGATTGATTGATTGATTGATTGATTGAATTTACGTCCACCTTCAGTCTAAGACTATATAGGACGACTAGGCCTTAAGGGCCTAGTAGATAACTTTTTATTTTACAATAATAGGAATAAACAATTTGGGGAAGTGCAAACGAATATTGGGGACCTAAGCCCACTTACTATACGTATAACATATAGTAAGACAATAAGGAAATCTACTCTGTGGAGTATTCTTCCTCTCTTTCTCTTTCTTCAATCTCTCTCTCTTTTTCTCTTTCTTCTTCCATTTGAGTTCTTGATAAATGCTAGGCTCTTGTAGCAATTTTAGTTGTATTGATGAATTTGATAGTTAATTCGATTCCTATTTTCGTATGAAGTAGGAATTGTAGAGTGATTTTAGAAAGTGGTATATTCTGGAATATCTCTTTTCTTTCCGTTTTGTATACTGGGCAACTGATCAAAAGGTATTGAGGTACCTCAATATTACCACATATACATCTATTATTGGAGTGATTAAAACGATATAAATATAATTTAATATAACCGTAACCTAGTTTCAATTGAAAAAAAGCGCTAGCTGTATTTCGCCTTGTTTCAATTGGTAGCTTGATTTTCGATCCAATTTTCCATGGAAATAGCTTCGAATAGATTAATACTGTTTGATTTGATCTGAGTTTATATTGATTGAGAATCGAGCTCCATTGATCAAAGAAGGATTCTTTGATTATCATTCCTAATAATCCGAAACTAGTTTCATTCGAAATAGATTGTATTATAGTTACTTCCTTTGCTAGCTTATCTGCTAGCTCGTTTCCCTTTACTGAAGTATATCCTGATATCCAATTCAAGGATATTTCCGCTCCTTTAGCTATAATAGCTTTAGCTGCTTTGATTGCTCGAATTTGATAGGCTTGACCAGGATGATCCGAGAGTGTTTTTAGTCATAATAGACCTACTTGATTGTCTGAATAAACCTTGAATTTCTTTCCACTACTAGCAATTGAACTAGCATATTCAATAGCTCAAATGACTCCATATAGCTCTCCATTATAAACCAGTTGATTGCTTCCAATATTCACTTATTCTTGATATAAAACTTGATCATTCGATTGTATTGTTACTATTCCTACACCAATGCCTATTCCTTTTTCTATAGAAAAGGCATCTGTATAGATATAGATAGTATTTTGATCTTTATATTTGAAAATAATATTATAAAGTATTGCTGCATTTTCTTTTGAAGCCTTATTAATATTGATTTTGAAAGGGATTTCCTTTTTTTATAGTGGAAAGTAGAAATGAGTAATCTTTTCGAGAGAAAACGAATCGAATTTTTTATTAATTGATTCTCTTATTCTATCAAGTTGGATTGGTTTATATAGCTTTCTTTGAGGAGTATTGATTGATTCTCGATTAGCGTATTGGTATGCTAGAGTAGCTTTTTCGATATTGATTAGATATTTAGGTGAGAGTTTTGTTAATCGAAAGGTATACTGCTTGATATTTGAATCTAATCGAATATTTGCTGGTTTTAATCCCACTTCGATTTCTATTAGGAGAATTGGAGTGGTTTTGAAGACTTCTAATATCTTTCGAAGAGCTAGGTTTTGAAAAGCTTGCATTTTATCCCTGAAGTGGGCTTATCCTCTCCACCAAATCATTAATCCGTAATCTGCTATACTAGTTACACAGACTATATATAGCTATCGAAGGGCTTTCGAGCTTAGGCCTTTTTTCATATTAGCTAGTCGAATCATTCAATAAAAGACTCCTTTTGCTTATATGATTCGAATATTGATGTATTGATTGAATTTGAGATTTGAATCAAACCATATACCTAACTATCTGATCAGGGATTGGAGTATAATGACATCGGAATTAGATAGTTTGATTAAGTGATCCTTAATTAGCTTGGAAACTGAGAAGTACATTAACTCCGTTTTTGCTAAATCGAATTGAATAGCGTTTTTTGAGCTAAGTTTGTAAATTTGCTTTATAGCTTTCTCAAAAGATATAATATTCTTCTTCCAAGAAGATGAGTTTGTAATCAAAGCAATATCGTCAATATAGGAAAGGAATTTGATTGATTTTGAAAGGAATAAATCTCTGATATATATTAGAAATAGAATTAGAGAAATAGGGCTGCCTTATGATATTCCAATCGAAATAGGCTTAAAAAATTCGATTTGATTATTGAAGGACAATTTGAGTTGTTTTTGTTGGAGGAATAAGGCTATCCAAGTAATCAGATTTGTTGGTAATTTTAGCTTCTTACAAATTTCCAATAATCGATTTTTTGAGACATAATCGAAGGCTCCCTTTATATCCATAAATAGAACTGAAGTCTTTTTATGAATTTGCTTGTTTCTTTCGATTTCTGTAGTTAGAAGAAGAGTTGTATCAATTACTGATTTCTTTTGTCGACCTCCAATTTGACTCTTGTATAATAGGCTAATAGTTTCTACTAAATAGCCTAATCTTTAAGCTAATATCCTTTTGCTTATCTTTCCAAGGCAGTTTAGAAATGTAATAACTCTATATGCTTTCGAAACGGAATAGTCAGGTTTTGAGGCTTTCTTCAAATCGCTTTAGTGGCTTGTTTCCAGTATTGTGGGTAATATCCGAGATTGATTAGATTACTAAATAAATTGAAGAAGATCTGTGGAATTGCTTTATATGCTTTTGTAATAATCTCCTGAATGATTTTATCTAAACCAAAAATCTTTCCTTGGATTTTGGCTGAACAGATATTATTTAATTCGATTTGTAAAAGGTTAGGCTATTCTCATTTTTTGGATTGCTTGTATCCTTCCCATTGTGGTTTTGAAGTGACTGGGGGGAATAGGAATAGAGTTGATCTGAAAGCAAAGCATTTTCCTTCAAAAGAGCTTTCAATTGAAATATTCGGTATTCTTTGATCTTGATAGTCTTTTGTATAGGTCATTACTTTGAATATTGTCTGTGTATCCTCCTTTTCTAGGAATTCATTCCAATGATTCTTCTTTGCTGTTTTAATAGTCTGAAAGTATTTATTTCTAGCAATTCAATATTCCTTTTTGAAATTTGAGTTCTCCAAATCGGATTCGATTAATTGTTTTACTCTTTCTAATACTTTTCGAAGCTCTTTCAATTCAGGTGTCCACCATGGTTTTCCCCTTTTTTCCGAATTGACTTTAGGTATAGATTTTTCAGTAGCTTTTTGAATAATTCTTGTAAATTCGCTTACTACTTGATCCAGATTAAAATAATCATTTCTTTCTTTCAGATTATTAAGCGAATCCTTTTTAAATAAAATTGTTAATATCAAAATAGAGAAAATAAAAGAAAATAAGGTTTCTGATTTCAGTATCGATTTGAATTTATTTCAATTAACTAGTTTGGTATTATATCTAGCTAGCGATATTGTATTACGAAAACTTGATTCTTCTTTTCCTTTGAGTTCGAATAGTATTTCTATATGATCGGATTCTGTATTTGATAGTATTTGCTAATTTTGGATTTGAAAAGTAATTCCTTCTGAAACTAATATGAAATCGATAACGCTTGGATTAAGGAGATTATTGCGATAGAAAGTATTAAGACTAGGCTCGTTTAGAAGAGTGAGATTCTGATCTTTCAGCCATTCGGCTAATTGATTAGTATTTCCACTCTTCTTCGAAAAAGGATCCTATTATGAATAATGGGAGTTGAAGTTGCCTACAAGAATAGTTTCTTATATGATTGATAAATTGTATAGATATCTTTCAAATATAAAGCCCTTTTCTTTAGCTTGATCAGTTTCATTATAGATATTAACAATTTGAAAGGCTTTATTTCTATTTTGATAATCGAAAATCTGAATATCAGGATCTCTTAAAGAATTAGGAGAAAGGTTGATTATAAATTGAAGGGTTTTTGAGATATATAATAATATTCGTGGTCGATATTTGAAATCGAATCTCGAAAGTATTTGTGTAAAATTGGGGTGTATGATCGATCTAGTATTTGAATAATCATTTCTGTTTTTGATAATCCAAAGCTCTTGAATAGTAATGAGATCGATATTGAGTTCTGTTGTAATCTGTAAAATGTTTTCTATAGCTTGTAAATTTTGATTGAGATTTATTTGAAGAATTCGAATATTGATATGATTCATTAAAAAGTGTTATTCGATTTTTGTTGAATAGCCTGATAGGTTTCATATGTTTTCGAATTTGCTGCATGATTCCCTTGACAATTCGAGTATTTCGCTGTTAAATGTTGACAGAATTTTCCTTTAATATTGCATACCATACACAAATATACTAATGTAATATACTTACCTCCATATAAACCACAAGAAGGATTTCTTCTACAATGAGCATCCTGATATCCAAACCCTTGACACTTCTGGTACTGTGTAGTTGGTTTTGATTCGTAGAACTTTTCTATTCTCATACTACTTCCAGCAATATATAACCGCTTTCGGATAGCTAATTCTGCTTCTAATTTGGTAGCAAAAGCAATAACTACAGCTCCCTCTTGTTGATAAGCTCTTTTCGAAATAGGAGTGAGCTAGAAAAGGATTTCTATAGGCTTGAAGTCAGGATTGAAGGTTTTGATTTCGTTTAAGATAAGATCCATTCCCTTTACTCCTGAGAATTCTTTAATGGGAACTCTATGAATAATGACTTTATACTATTCTTAATTCTTTTGAATCCTTTTGAATTTGATAATGTTATTTTAAATAGCTTTCTTTTCTATTAAGAATTGTAATGTAAAAGGATTGTTTATTGTAATAATAATATTATTATTGAAGAATAAAATAGCTGTTGTAATAACTAGTTCTTTAATTTCAGTCTTTTGAAAAGCTTTATTTATTTTGTTTCGAATAGTTAAAGAGGAGAAGGAAGTGGGGTTTGAGATTTCTGGTTTGATTAGAATAAGTTGTTTTTGGATTGAATTTATCTTTTTCTTTATAGGAATTGATTTGATGCTTTTTTTGAAGATTAGATTCTATTCTCCTTTTGAAACTTTTGTATATGTTGGTTTTGATATTGGGATAGTAGTGGATATAGGAATTGTATTTAGGGCTTTAGCTTGGGATTCGATTTTTCGAGTAGCTGATTCGAGATGGGTGATTTGAGAGGTAATGATTTTGGAGGCTATAGTAAGGTTTCCCTTTTCAGTATACTCTCTAAAGATTTCTAGGAGATCTAGAAGCTTGGATTGTTCGGTTGCTTAACCAGAAAACCCAAGATGTTTAGAGGATCCTGTGTCTTTTTATCCTTGTAATCGCAATAAAAGAATGCTAAACCTAGAAAGCAAGAAGTTTCTCATCAGTTTTAAGTTAAGTTCAGTCAGAGCTGGAAATCGCGTACAATCACCATCTTCAAGCTGGTCAAAGATACAGCTGATGGTAGAACTGCTATTTCGAGTAAGTAGACTAGCCCAGAAATTAATTACTTGATGACGTACATTAATATAGTTTTTCCAGCTCCAGCTAAGACAAGCATCAGAACAGATTTCTGGACTGGGGTAAGTTTATCGAGAGAATAAATCGAATGCTTACGAATACCATACAACCACAACTTCGATACCTTTTCATTAAACCAGGACTTGAACTGATCTCCCTTAGTGAACCACTGTAATTTTTAGCTGGAACTTCTGGAACACCATGCAGGAATGGCCTCTCTTTACCTGACCAGTACCTGGCTGTCGAAGTTTCGTCGCAACTTCTTGATGTCTCTGACTGGGATCATATGGAGCTATCCATTCAATAATCTTCTTCTGCTTTTGGTCTGAAAAATTAACACGTTAGTTTGAACGCAAGGAAATATAATTGTGATGAAGCACCTACTCAACATAGATATCGCTTTCTCATTCCTTAGGCCAAGCACATTTGCCCGTATTGCTTCTATATTTAGTCCTTGTGTCTTCCGGTCACTGAGTGCATCAAATAGCGCATTCATTCCATCCACTTGAAGCGCAAACATCAAAGTAGACTTCTGTGTCGTCACATCATCGATGAGTGCTCTGGTTTCACCGACGCTGAAAGGCCAGATAAGAGCTGGCCCTAAATTTGAAATTTTCCGGCCAATCGCTGACTTTTGACCACCGATATCGTCGCGGTCAGCTTTATCTAATCTTTCTTAATCCTGTCAAGTAGTGTTCGGCAAGTATCTATGTGCTAGAATTGAATGGTGGAAGAGATTGACTCGTCGTCAAAACGTGAGACGACCAGGCGTAATTGGTTGAGAATGCCGTATAGATCGGTCATTTCGTTGACAAGTTTTTTGACTTCCTGAGTCGATCCCCTGACTTCTTTGACATATTTGTAACTCTTTACAGCTACGAGGTCGAGAATGGATATCAATCCAGAGATGCTGGCGCTCACTGATAGCGGGTCCATTTTGTGATTAGAATCCAAATCCAAATCTTGAATTTCTAGCTCAGTGTGCAATATTCTGTTTTGTGATAGGTATTGAGATGGTGGGGGAATGTGTGATGATAAGGCTCAACATAGATGATCATTCTGAACGGACTAAATGGCCACTAGATGCTACGACAGAGAGCGAAGCAAACAAAACAACCACAGTGCTGCAAGAAAATTGTACGAGAGGCGTACACAACATGGCTAAGCCTCAGAAAGCCTGATTCAGCGTTTTGTGCGCGAATGTCATCCACTGGAATGATCTCTGGATGTCTTGATGCCACACAAGCCTTATAATGCGTTTCGTACAAGAGTAATAACAAAGGTACAGCATATACTGCCACTCCGCCAGACGTATGCCTTCAGCACTTGCCAGAACACATGATTCTCAATATACGTAATCCAAGGCTCGGCATCAGGCAGAAAATCGAAATCTGCTGGCATGAAATCATGTTTGATCTGCTGGTTGAACAAGAGGTTGATGAACCATCCTAAGAATTTTGAATTGTTTGCTCAAATGACACGCGCAGCTTCGATTGGGAATAATAATCTCACTGTACTTGTCCAGAGATGCCATTTGAAGTTGTTGGTTGTCCTTTCATTTGGCACCGGTATATTAATTCCACGAGGTTCACGGCTTCTGAGATCTCAGAAACATCTGAGAACTTTCTCAAATGCAGTAACGCGCAATTTGGCAAGTTCAAAAAGGAAAGAAAGAACGATTGGGTGGCCCAAAAACCCACCGAGCGGAGAAATTAGCCTCGAAAGCTGCAGCTTCCCGAATGCAACTTCCATCCAAACACCACCCTACCAATCAAATCTCATCGAAGCCAAATTGGACCAAATAAGAAAATCAGTACTCGACGTTTTGTTGACCAACCAGCCCATTTTCGATTGATTAGTGAGCATCTTCACTTCAGTGTATGAGATTAGTATTCGAGTGAACTCGAGCCGCAAAGCTACAACTAAAAGGAATATAGCTTTTCCTTAGTTCTTGGTATTTTTTCCATTTTGGCATTCGAGATTACAAAAATGATTGACAAATTGTTCACCTTTCTGATTTTTGTACACAAAATCTTGTTGGAGCTGCATCGACCAATCATCATGCAAGATCATCCACAAATCAACAGCACCGAACTACGCAGGTAAAATACAAGAAGCGAATGACCCAAACGCAAATGATAGATCCAAGCACAAAACTTATCAGACTAAAATCACTGCAAATAGCCGATACATAAACAATTCTCTCTACTACCACGACATCCACAAGCGACTGTTCTTAAGTTATGGATTGAAATTGTACTCAATAAGCCGATTCTTAAACACGACAATCAGATGCTTATATCAAGAGGATAGCGACGGGACATATTGCGAGGAAAGTATTGATTATAGCAAGTAGAACTTCGATAGCTGTTGGGAAGTTGGAATAGAACATTAACTATCTGGAACGTGCATAGGCATAGTGCGTTTAACACCGTGCTGTGGCAGCATATTCGAAGCTGGCTGGCTATTACAATTAGCAGAATTGACCTGAAGCGATGCGATTCTGACTAGATTGTGTATCCTGCCTTTAAAAATACTCAATTCCACCAAACTTCACTTGAAACGGATACGGATATGAGTGGTAACATAGAGAAGGTCAATACTCGAGATAGAGAAAGATTTCAGCCAATTTCTGGGTTCGATATGACATGCTTTTGATGATCGGGTATATATGCTCTGGTGCTTGGATGAACGTTGAACACCAGCATTCGGTCTAAAAAGTCGAAGCAATAGCTAAATCCAAACCTAATCTTTAGGCAGGAAAGCTTTGCATCATTAGATCCACGCTTCTAGCCCCCGCTCATCAATTTCCCTCAACCAATTTTCCATTCACCTTCTCCTTTGCCGCCTTCACAACATCCACCCAGCCCCTCGGCAATTTTCTTCCACCTCCTTCATTTTCTTTTCCCAGCCAAGCTTCAGCCTCCTTCCCAAATTCGATCAAGACTTCTTCTCCTCCCCACTCCGAACTCCCCATTATCCCCACTGGAATTTTACCCTCTCCCTTCTTCGGATCCACATACCCAACTGGACAATTAATGCCCGGAATACCCGTGAAATTGGCCAACCATACGTATTCCATATTCCTAAGACTTTTATTTGGATCGAATGCCCCGTGTTGCAAGTCTCCCTCGTGTTCTATTTCCCAGCCTGGAATTGGCGTAGTAGGAGTAACGATGATGAGACCGGGGTATTTCTTGAAAAGGAAAGACAGATGCTGCATGAGCAGGTTGCGAAGTTGTTGGGCGAGGAGATAATCCCGAGCTGGAGTATATGCACCCATTGTGAGAAGTATCTTGTTTGAGGGAGTGGCATCCTTGAGCCAATCTGAGGCCGAGAATGGAAATTTCTTTGCACGTAAGGCCATATTCGTGAGAATAGTCATAGCGTGGGCAAGTTGACCCTCAGGACAGTACGGGATTGTGATTGGGACAACTGTATAACCAAGTGACTTTTCACAGTGATCCACAAATTTGGTACATAAATCATGAACAGATGGTTCGGCTCGGTCGAACCAATCTTTATAAATTCCGATGACTTTTGGACGTGCAGTTCGAAGAGATTTTGGAGGACTAAATAGCGCAGCAACCGGATCAGACGGATTAGGCTTTGCCATAATTCGATATGCCACTTCGAGATCAGCCATAGTTGATGCAAGAGGACCATTGACAGTAACTGTGCTTCCAGTGTTCTCAACTCGTGAATGTGAAGGCTTCAATCCATAAAGACCACAGAATGATGATGGAATGCGAATACTTCCGCCACCATCTGAACCAAGAGCAAAAGGAATTAGCCCAGAAGAAACTGCATAAGCAGGACCCCCGGAAGAACCACCGGGGTAATATTGGTAATTGTGCGGATTCTTTGGAGTGCCCCAATTTGGGTTGTTATTAGTAGTATCGGAACCAAGCTCATGCATATTTAGTTTTCCCATGATAAGAGCACCGGAATTTTGCCATTGTTGAACGATCCAAGTAGATTCCTTCGCAGCAATAAACAATGAATCATTCTTTTTTCTTCCTCCATGACTTCTATATCCTGCAACATCACTGTCATCTTTGATACCAGTGGGAACGCCATCGAGAATACTCAAAGGATTGCCTTGCTGGTATCGCAGAGTTGATGCTTTGGCAGCTTCTAGGATTTCTTCAACATTACTCTCAGTAAAAGCAACGGAATAAGCTCCTGGCGGATTAATATCTCTCCTGATCAGGGGGAGAAGTGATTCCGCGACGGCTAGTGGTGTTAATTTTCCGGTACGATAAAGGGTGTGGTATTCAGCCACCGAACGATATCGTTCAGCCGAGTCTTCTGGGACGACAGGAACGGACTTAATATCGGAATCATCCAATGCTGCATTAGATGGTGAATCAATCGCGAGTGGAATTACTGTAGGCTGTTTGTGCATTGTTTAATCTTCATCAACCGTATCGGATATAACACTTCAACCTACATCCCATCTTTCAAAGTACTCGTCCAAACCCTTGATATCTCTCAACGCATTCATTTTGGCATTGTTCCATAAGGGACCTTGAATGAACCCAATTTTGGAAACACTTTGGGACGTTAGTGGGATACAGCTCTGACTGGCTGGGAAGAATACATACAGCCATCCAACTACCACCAAAAGCCATCCTCGGAATGCAGGATTCTTGTCATCCGTTCTTACAAATGGTATATTAGGGCCTTCTTTTGGAGAAGGGTAACCAACCCATTTGCGGGGCTCTTGATTTGTTTCAACCATTGCAAATAGTTTGTTGTGGTGGAAGGAAAGGTAAATCAAAATGAGGGGAAAGTGGAGGGTGAGGAGGAGCATGGGTACAATGTCACGTGAAAATGTCCAATTCTGGATAGCATTAGATTCCCAAGTGGGTAACCATTGGATTGGGTTGGAATGTATGGTTGAGGTTCTATGTCTGCGGATTGTTATTCAATGTCTTAAAATTACAATATTCATCTTATCTAGTTGATTCAACTATTAAATTTCTATACATATTACATATCTTCATAAGATGATTACTTTACCATAACTGTGGCAATCCAGGTTTGTACATTCTTCAAACTATTTTATTGGTATCTTCTATTTAAACTACCATTCTGAAACTTCTCCTGGCTTAGGCTTCTCGACTCTCACAACCTTATCTGGATTTAATAAACACAAGGGATCGAATGCAAATTTCAGCTACAATGTGTTAGTAAATGTAATACGACTGAATGACAAGATAGTTTGGCACATACCCTTCTCATAGCATCAACTGTGCTCTCGCCCAATTCATGGTTCAGATAATCTCTCTTGATCAATCCAACTCCATGCTCACCAGTCACAGTACCCTCCATTTCCACGGCTCTCTTGACCATTCGATGCATTACTTCTTCTGCGATTTGTCTTTGGGTATCATTGTAAAGGACAATAGCTGTACATGTTAGCGTATTTTGTGAAAAGCTGGAATCCTAAAAATACTCACTGTGAAAGTTACCATCTCCAACGTGTCCCACAATGGAAGCAAACAATCCACTCTTGGCCAAATCCGCTTTCGTCTCTTCAATGATTTCCGGCAATCGACTCATTGGTACAGCAACATCCGAAGTCCAAACATGATCACCATCTTTTTCCCGCATCGCCATGACAGACCATAAAGCTTCTTTTCTTGCACTCCATAGCTCAACTTGTTCCTCTGCATTCTTCGCAAATTCAAAAGTTTTGCTTCCCGTTGCCTTTGCTAACCTCTGAACAATACTGATTTGCTCTTTGACAGCATTAGGCGTCCCTGCAAATTTGAAGAAAAGTGTGGGTGCTTCGAGCCATGCTTTAGTTGTCATACCGGATTTGTTAATGCTCAGCATTTGATTGTCATCCAAGATTTCGATGGCGGCAATCGGTACGCCTTCGGTGACAACCTTCCCAACACAATCCGCTGCTTGTTTTATACTTTCAAAACTGCATACTGCCACGCTGGTAGTATTCGGCTTTGTAGTGACCTTCAATGTGGCCTCAGTAACTAATCCTAGGGTTCCTTCGCTTCCAATAAATATCTTAGTCAAATCATATCCAGCGCTACTTTTTCTAGGTCTCTGTCTTGTTTTGATGATTGTTCCGTCAGCTAAGACAACAGTCAAATTCATGACCCATTCCCTCATGGTGCCGTATCTATATGCATTTGTCCCACTGCATCCAGTTCCTACCATTCCTCCTATCATGGCGCCTGGACCTGGATCTGGAGGGAAGAATAGATTATCCTTCGCCAGCTCTTCGTTGAGGAGCTCCCAGCCAACAGCTGGTTGAACAATCACATCCATATCATCTTTATGTAGTTTTAGAATCTTGTTCATCCTTCCAAAATCTATGCAAATGCCACCTCGTGTAGGAGCATAATGGCCTTCCAAGCTTGTGCCTCCACTGTATGCAGTAACGGGTATTTTTCTTCGATGGCAAATCTTCATAATCTCGCTAACTTGTTCTGTTGATGAAGGAGAAACTACCATAAATGGTACTTCACTAGGCTTTCTCAAATGAGATGACCATTCACTGCCCGAATGGCTCTCCAGATCTGAATCAATGGTAGAAACATTTTCCTTGCCCACTATCTCGACAAAATCCGCCCACGCGGATTCGAGATTTGAGCGGCCTGTATTATGTCGAAGAGCTTTTGTGGTTGAAAGAGGGGTAGTGGAAGACGTAGGTGTACCGGGATTCCTGTAGGAGCCGAAATAATATCCTCCTATAGCCACCGATATGATAACTGTATAGTCGATTCATCAGCAGTGTCCAATATGCTATCAAAACCTAAAAAATATCTGCGCACCGAATGTCAAAGCCGAATTCTTTCCTCCAGCACTTTCATTTCGATTCTTAGAGTACTGTTGCCTTTCCGCACGTTCTTTGATCAACCGCGCCTGGGTGCTTTCGTAAAGTTGCCCTTTGAATGATCGACCTTCTCCTAAGTTTTGCTCTGTGGATGCATATCTTAATTTGCTTGCGGGGGATCGGAGACAAAATTGGGATCGAGATGAGGATGTGCGCAAGCTTGACAGCAGGGCCGATGAAGGGACCCTTCTAGGGAACGACATAAATCAAATATCGATTGAAGTCGAGGGACTTAGCATTGAATTCGCAGATCAGTAGAAACAGGTCTTGTTTTGGGGTTTTGGGTTTGCGCGGTGGTGGTAGTATAAATACTTCTTATCTCGCAAGGCTCGGAAATAATTTATCTATCTGAGGATCCAAAAGCCATCCAAGCTTTAACGGAAGGCTTCGCTTCCCCACACATTTTCAGCACGTAATCCATTGGCATCAATTGCTCAGTCTGTCAGTCCAGTCATGGTGCTTAATTATTTGTTGATTAGATACTGACGGGGAATAGTGCGTTTTGATCATTATCTTGAGAAAGTTTCTGAATTATGATTTGTAATAATAATCTGTATTAAAACGATTGGTTTGATTGAGAATATTAACAGTTGAAGGGAAACGGTACAGTATCAACTATGGAGCAAAGAGTGCATGCCTAGGTCTAGGTCATCAGTCTATCGTCCCTCCACCCGCTGTTCTTCATTTAAGAAGCTGAAACCAAAGAGTTGCATACAATACAGCATGCTTTCATCACCAGTTTGAAACGCCCCGGCCCTCTTCCTATAGGAGAATAAGCAGGTCACCGTAAACTCCACCATTCCCATCCTGCCGTAACACCGCTGTGATCCCAATCAATAAACTACCCCTCACCAATTGTCTAGGCATTCTTCCATCCAGTCAATAACTCAACAATAAAGTGTGGCTTCACACAAGTGCCCAAATAAGCCTCCATTTCACTGTCATTGTCAATGGGTATGGTCACTTCTTGTTCAGATGATCCTCCCATAGATCCGGCGACACGACCCACCAATGTATTTGGGAATTTGCTTGTAGCTACCCGATGTAGTTCTTCCAGAGAGGTACCGCTCAGCATCGCAATCCATAACGGATTAGGGGCGGTTATTTCTGATTCTGGGTGCAATCGAATGTAAACTGGTAGAGATGGAGGAGTTACAGATGGGAATGCTTGTGCAGCTTGATTGACAAATTGTTGGTCTGTATATTGGGGGTCCGCAAATTGGGTTTGCATCCCACGAACCATTAAATTTGGATCATTGGAGGCTGCGTTAAGTAAAGATGGATCGATCTGAGATGGATCAATATGCATATCAGTGTGATTCTGCATATTACCATGGCTGACCATAACAGGCGTATGAGCTTGAGGTTGAGATTGGGCGTGAGCCTGGACTTGTTGATGAACCTGGGCTTGAGCATGAGCCTGAGCCTGAGCTTGTTGGTGAGCTTGGGCTTGGGCTTGAGCATGAGCTTGAGCGTGGGCTTGAGCTTGAGCGTGGGCCTGACGAGCTTGTGTATGCATGTGAGATTCTGGTATTTGCATGTGTGACTGAACTTGGTTCTGCGAGTGGGCATGAGCATGCGCTGCTGTTTGAATGAGAGCTTCCTGTGGGTCTTGTTGAAAATCTGGAGTTTCCTCTTGGCTGTGGTGGAATTGGTCCATAGCTTGATCAGGCTGGAAAGTATTCTCGAACTTTCTCTTCTTCCTAGTTGGATCACGTTTAGTCTGGTCATCCCGAAGACGCTTCATGACATCTCGACATAAAACCTCCATTGCCTTAACTCTCTGCGCGTGCTGAGGATCAGCGTCTCCCCCAGAAAGTAGATTTAGTAATAGCTCTGAGCCATTGATCCAGGATGTCTTGAGCTCCTGCCAGTGTTCTTCTCCAGCTTCAAGCTTACTGGTGAAATGATCAGCTTTCAATATCTGATAGAAAGAATTACGAAGTTCCCTGGACTGTTCTGGATTTACTCCCAACGCATTCTTGGCTTCAGCAATGGTCATACGACGCTCCAATGTTCGCATTCGTTTCGTCACGTCGCCGCAAACAACATCGAGAGCCAGCTTTCTTGCATCCAAATTTTCTTGCGTATTCCAGAAGACTGATTGTAGATGTTCACTCTCTTGTATGAGGCTATCCTTTGCAGCTTCCCAACGCTCGGGTCCAGCGAGTGTCTTCTTTATGATACCTGCTTCTTCACATATGCGTTGAAATCTAGCCCTTATATCACGATACAAAAGATTATCAAGTCTCAAGAAATTTTTGCTTTCATCGATGGTGGTTTCGGAAGGGAATCGGGGAGGTCCTGGAGGATCTGCTGGGAGACCAGCCCAGCCACGAGTTCGACGACGACGCTTGCGAGTATTCCATTTTTCATCGGATTCGGCCGCTAACTTGGATAGACGCTCTTTTCTCTTCTGCATGACTTCAGGGCTAAGTGGCGGGGATTCAGCTCGGGAATCTTCCTTGGACATGGATGAAGCTGGTGGTAACCCTTCCATATGCCCTTCCATCGACCCTTCCATCTGTTGTTCTCCCTCTAGTATTGCTCCATTATTGTAAAATGCCTGTTGTAGTTGACTTTCCACATCCTGATCCGTTTGTTTCTTTGATTTATTACCATTAGGTACTCGTAGAAGCCAGCGATTCTTATTTCTGACGCGCATGAGTTCACGTTCCTTGATATCCCAACCCTCTCGTTCGAGAATGGTAACCATATCGCGCTGTGATGTATTGATGTCCCATAGTTCTTTGATGCGTTGAACGAGTGGCTCGTTCTTGTGTGCAGGATTTTGTTTCGAAGGAAACCCCCATTTTTTGAATTGGGTTTGAAATGCGCGTTTACTTATAAAATGTCAGTGAAGGTCAATCGCGATGATTGTCAAAGCGAGTGGTACGGGTGGGTATATCGATATATGATGCATGATGATATGGATGTCATAATTTACTACTGCTATGATTATAGCTCGTAGCGCAGTGCCATGTGAAGAAGCTTGATAAGATATAAAGATATAAAAAGATATGAACTTACGAGGGATTAAATGACATATTTTCTTTCAAGTATTCCATAATCTCCTCCAATGACTTTTTCTCTTCAATATACATACTATAGCATATATCCTGTTTGTTATCCCAATCGTATACCATTTTGGCTGTTGTTCCCCAGACCGTCACCTATATAAAAATAGATGACAAGGTGACAAGGTTTGATACTCGAGGGGTTTATCTGTGCTTTTTTTTGATTGTGCAGCTGTTGTTGATTGCGTTGATGATGTTTGATGGTTGCCGTTCTTCGGACAAAAAAAGGTGGAAAACTATAAAGATGATGGGTGGGTTTTGTGTGCAAGGCTAGTGTGGAACTATTAGTCATCACCGCTCGTCTACATGATGTAGTCACATGATACCATTTTAGTCATCCATTCACATTTTGGTTTCCCCAACATTTCCAATATTGTACGGTATACTGTATGTATCTGTTCAGGACATATTTAAACAAACCCCCGTTTCTTTATCTACTTAGCTACCTAGTAGGTATTGTCTGCTCATTCAACAACCAAGGCATTCAAATCCAAACTAATCTTTGAGCGCGAAGCGAAAAAGCCTCCACGGCAGTGGCCCAGCGGAGCGTCATTAATCAAATTCATTACTAGAGCTATATTCTAGATATCTCTTTGGACCTGGTGAACATCTTCAAAGAAACCCCCCTCCAACCCTTCCTTAAACCTTCCTTCTTCCTTGACTTCATTTATTTTCCTCTCACCACACCAATCCGCAAAACCAATCACTATGAAGGACTTAACAAATGACCATGGCATGAATCTTCACCTCGTGGTTTCGTCTACACATCAGCATCTCTTCTCTAACTTGTGCCATGGCACAATCAGACCAAGCTTCGGCAACTCATAAGACGCCACCATTACGGGGCTGAGTCTAATATCTTTCCTATGGATCTCTTACATTCTAATCGTTCAAAAGACATCCAATTCATGAAAGTCGGCTGTTACATACGTCATTGGGCATTTTCATGTTAAATGCTGGATTTCACTACCCCACAGTTCTCAGATTACACTCTCTGTATTTTCTTTCCATATGCCATATACAAGCTTCACTAACTCGTCAACACGAAACTTCTGCTACACGTCTACTGTTGCTTTATCTTCATATATTCTATCATGCCTCAAACTCTAGATATTCAACTACAAAATCGTTACCCTTCGGATGAAGTTTATGCTTACATCACGGGGCTGGCATTAAACAATAACAACCGTGTCTTTCTACTGAGAGCCGATGGAAAGACACCATATTACCCTGACTCCCCACCTCACACCGTGCATCCACTTTCAGCAGATTGTGCTATTAAATTGGGGAAACAAGGTAGTACCACTATTGCCACAATCCCTCTTCTTGCTGGAGGAAGGATCTGGTTCTCAATAGGCAAGAAATTGGAGTTTTTCGTCAACCCAGGACCGGCATTGGTTGAGCCATCTGTCACCAATCCTTCTGATCATAATATTAATACAAACTGGGCATTTTGCGAGTTTACGTTCAATCAAACTCAAATCTATGCCAATATAAGGTAGTTCTGCCCATCGCCTAGTACCCTGCAAGATTGCTAATTTGCAATAGTTATGTCGACTTTGTCAGCTTGCCAATTTCTATGAAACTTATACCTGAAAACGGTAGACCACAAGAAATTCATGGTCTGAGAGCAGACGGTCTAGAGACTATCTGTGAAGGCCTAAAAGCACAAAGTCAGATTGACGGCGCAGGGTGGGACAAATTGGTTGTAGAGAGTGGTGGTCGAAAACTTCGAGTATTGAGCCCCAATCATGAACCGGGTTTTGATGGCTATTATGAATCTTACGTCAATGAAGTCTGGGATAAATATACACACACACCATTAGTTATCGACACCCAAGCTGAATGGGGAAAAGTAGAGGGTCGTGTAGGTAACGGGCAATTAACATTTCCTGGCCTGGCGACTTTCTCGAAGCCATCTACTGCAGATATCTTTAGCTGTAGTTCTGGCCCATTTTCCAACAATGCTGGGCCGACAGGACCTCTCACAGCTCGTATTAGTGCGGCTTTCAATAGATCGACACTGTTAAGCAACAATCATCAGCCACACAAGGAAAGAGTATCAGAGTTTTATCGACACAAGGTCTCCAATCACTATGCTCGACTTGTTCATGAAGCAAATCACCATGGCCGGGGATATGCTTTTCCATATGATGATGTTTCATCCGGTATGGAGACTGATCAGTCTGGTTTTGTTAGTGGATGGCCAAAGTCGTTCACTGTTTCTATCGGTTGAGCATGAGTTGACGATGTCTTTTGATACACATCCGTGTGGTTGTCTCAGACGTCGAAGCATTCTGGTCCCTTGTTCTCACCAAGAAAGCCATAGAAAACATCTGCGTATCAGCATGAAGCCAATCCTCCATTTGATTCATCCACAACGCTGTTGGCAAAGTTCGCAGGCTTTGCTTTTGACTTGGCCGAGAATAATGGATTGACTACCAATAGCGAGACCGTAACTCCACATCACGAACAGCGCCAGAGGTCAGCTGTGATGAAAGATAAAGAGAGTTCGCCTTCATAACATCGCAAGCTATAGAATTAAGACTTACGTCTATCATACTCCCGCTTTCTGATTATCTAGTGAATTGCTTTGCTCCTGCAAGTGGAGTGCGGTTGTTTTCCGCGCTCAAAATGCTTCAACCTTCGAAGATGGTCTCACGTCTCGTCTCCGCTTTCCAGACTTCAGGAAATTGTTAAAGTGTGCTATATTTTGCATTGCATTATAGAATTTCGGAAAAGCTAGTGTCTTGTGAGGCTTTATGTAGTGTAGATACCTTTTTGGTCATTGTCGTGGTCGTGCGCTTATATCAGTATCTCATTCTCCGAGGATGCACGAGGTGACAACAAACGTTCATGTATTTATTCCCTGTACACGTTTGAATATATCATTATTTTAGAGATTACGAGATGCAAAGATTCTAATTCGCAATGCTGTTTGTACAAATGCTATCTATTTATTTACTTATTTCAAGCTTCCTCCCAGTCACGACTTGACTCCATTAGCTTTACAACAACTCTCTTCCTCTTTCTTCGTACTTCCTTCTCCAACCAATTTGGACGACATGTTTCTCGAGCTAGGAACATCAATCGATGGGTTCGCCTCAAAGAAATCTGCCGGTTTGATCTTCAACTCATGGATCTCCACCGGCATGACCGGCCAATCCTCCACTCTTGGGTTATGTGTTAATCCAAAACAATTCCAAACAACCACATCATCACCATCCTTTCCTAGAGTCTCTCCCCTCGCAACTGCGTCGCCAACTCCGTCAATTTCCTTGCGACTCTGAAGCGTGTATCTACCACCAGCATACAATTCGCCATCCTTGTATTTCGTAACCCACACGTGATGTTGAGCAAATCTCGCCCGTTGAGCTTGTATACTCTCATCCTGCGCAAGCAACATTTGTGTCGCCGCGGGAATGAATTTGTATCCTACATTCTTTCCACTGATTGGATTTTGCTTTCCTGGGTTGACCATCTTCACAACCATGTTGTTCATTGGCTGAGCATCTAGCCACGATGCCTTTTCTACTTGTTTGGAAACAACTTCATAGAAATTGCCATATGGATTCCTCTTCTTATCAGCCACGGCATGGGATTCCTCAATCATGACTGAATTGGCTGGTCCATCGATAGCAGGATCGATACGCACACAGAAGATATGTTGATGGTTCTGTGCCAAAACACCAGGAGCCACAACATTTCCGTATTCACTCTTTTTCTTACCGGCATCAATCGAGACGACGGATACGATACCCGTAGCACGTGTCTCAACAGTTATTCCACCGGCGAGATCGAATTTGTATGCAAAGATGTATTCGTAGTTGGCGAGGGTGATGATGAATTGAACGACTAGTTCGCGGTGACGGGTGACGACTGCACGGTTAGTACGCCAGTTTGTGTGTTTCCAGCCGATGCCGGCATCTTGTTCGTGGAGACAGATGACGTTGGGGCTTGTGGAAACGGTGCCGTTGCTTTCGGTTTTGGTGCCGTCGAAGTACTGAGATTGTTAGATATTGTGGATTAATTAAGATGATGGATTGAAGGAAATACGAACCTTGATGACACCTAGACAATCGCATCCTAGCTCGAGGTTGTTGGCACAGTTTCCTGCGCCGCCGTCTCCGAAATCGAAGGCTTGCTTGCGGTAGTATGGAGATCGAGCATCTGCGTATGGTACAGTCTTTTCATAGAACCATTAGCACCATATTCCAACACAATCCAAGAAATAATCAAACTCACCATCTCAGAAACACTCAATCGATACAAAACACTTCTACCATCATAATGCACATCATGAATAGTAGCTCCCTCTCTGTGATTAAACCCCACTCTGAATCTCCACTTCTGCCACTCCACCAAACTATCATCTTCTCCAACCGTGAAACTCGCTCCTTCGGGTTGCACCACATTAATAGGTTTCATATCCTTTCTCGTTCCATTCTCCAACAACTCCGGTACATATTCCGCCGGCTTGCAATGTTTCAAGATCTCCTTGTCATGTGTGCCCACTTCAAACCCATCTTCAATACCCCCCGTAGCGAGTTTATCAATTCTGACAATCTCCTTTGTGGAATAATCCATGACTGGAATCAAAGGGAGAGGATATCCGTAGAAATTTGAATCTGGGTTTTTATTCCGAGTGTCTTGGGCAAAACAGAGACCTTGGAAGTATCGAGGATTTTCCTCCGTCATACTTCCTCCATATGGCCACGGCTCGACAACAATTTCGAATCCTTCTGGGATACTCAGCTGCGCAAGTTCTTCTTTAAAAACGGGAGATGCCCAGACAGCTTTGACTAGCTCGTCGAATTCCCCTCTTGGAGAATGTATTAGCTGTGTGATGCAAAAAATGGAAATGAGGAATATGACTTACAAAGTCAACATAGCATGATGCATTTCACTAACCACCTCTCTGTCCACCTCGACGCTCTCCTCGACATCCACAAGACTCTCGTGATATTTGGGTATTTTACTACTTCCAATAACATCATAAGTGACTCTTGCGAGTCTCTTGGGATAAGGAGTTGAAGCATCTAAAGCGCCGGCATGTTCTATTTCTAGAAATTTTTGGAGCTCGGCTTTGAGAGGTTCTTCGAGCGCGATGGTGCGGAAGGATATGAGGGCTGGTTTGTGGGCAGCCAAGATGGTATCACGGGCTATGTTGGATTCGGGAAGGGAGAGT